CTGGGCGATAGTTGTTTAAAATGGCTGGATCCAGGGATGGTTTCTTAAGGAGGGGTCTCACCACCGCATCCTTTAGCCGAACAATTTCATATATTTTTATGCACTAAGATCACATGTAAGAATTCTCCAGGAGGGAGTGTGTGTGGGGGGGAGGGGGGAGGGAGGGAGGGAGAATTTACTAGTTCCAAGGTTTTGAAAGTCTTTCTTTAGACAGGAAGCCTTTTTTGTGGGGGGAGCATTTTTGTGGCACAATATTTCACACCTAACAAATCACATTTCATAAAGCTTAGTGAGATAGAAGGCCTTGTACAGTTTGATTAATAGCCAGAGACAGATTTTCTCAAAGGGCCTGTGACAAAAGAAAGGCAAAACTATTTTCTTCTTTTTCCATTCACAACTAAGAAATCAATTTTACTATGGGAGGCCAACTACTAACCTGTCATTCTGATGACTTTTGGCTGGCAACCATCATTTTTATTTTCCATTAGTTTCCTGTAGCAGTCATGATTTTCAGTGGCTTTTGAAATAGAATTCCCAGCTAGAGGCATCCTTTAAAAACGGATTATAAAAATAAAATAGTGATTTTCTTCCAAAAGTTGCATGAAGAGATGAAATACAGGGAATCTTTGACATGTGACCATAATTGAGCTGAAAATTTCTGTTGATAATTTGTTAAGTGAATGTTGCCCCATTTTACAACTTTTTTGCCACAGTTGTTAAGTGAATCACAATCGTTGCTAAGTTAGCAACATGGTTGTTAAGTGAATCTGGTTTCTCCATTGGTTTGGCTTTTCAGAAGGTCTTAAAAAATGATCTTGGGACACTGCGACATCATTAATATGAATCAATTGCCTAGTGTATGAATTTTGATCACATGACCAAGGGGACGCTGAACAGTTATTAAGTGTCAAAAAAAATAATGTCACTTTTTTCAGTGACATAACTTCGAACAGACACTAAATGAACTGTTATAAGTCGAGGACTACCTGTATAAGAGCAGTTAACACAGCTGCACGCTCTTGCTAGGGAACAGGGGCAGGGCTCTGGGAGAGGAGGAAGAGCCAGGAAGGTCTAGCTTCCATGTGCTTCCAGTGAAAAGATATTCTGATTCAGCTGAAATCTTAATTCTGTGAAAGAATTGGGAGAAATTTGGATCTAGGCAGCAAATCAAGTTCTTTTACTATTTCAATAGGACTCTGACTCCTCTCAATCCATTATGATCATTCCCTGTGTTCTCATGAGCAAAACAAAATAATTACATTCTTTTCTGGCTGAACTATGTCCAAGGAATTGGGTTTAGCACATTTCATGCACTCTGTGCTTCACATGCATTATCTAAATCGTATTAACAGCCTAGTAGTGTTATCCCCATCTTGCAGGAGGAAACTGAGTTGTAGAATTAGTGTCTTATTAGGGGCTTCCTTGTGTGTATCCATTTTAAATGAAAATAGAACTTAAGATTTCCTGCTTCACGGGTAGCTTGCTTCTTTCCGAATAAAGTAATCGAAACGAAAGACATCACTTGCAAGAAATAAAAAACAACCCATATTTTAATGATTTAAAAATATGTATTTTAAGCAATCTCTATTGCATTGATAAGAGGTAAAGAGTCTATTAGAACAGGGTTCACCAACCTTTCAGATATCAGGAACCACTAAATTCATAATTTTAAATCCCTCGGACCACTAATATGAATATAAAAAGATAAATAGTATTTAGTGCAATATAAAAATGCAAATAATTTTTCTGTGGACCACCAAAATTTTCTATGGACCACCAATGTTCTATGGACCACTGGTTGGCAACCACTGCATTAGAAAATCTAGGAAGTGCTTTCACTGTGCTGCTGAAATCTAAACTACAAACAATCTCACCTGCAGGACTTCTGATAAAAGCACTTCTGCTATGGATGTATGGCTAAATGTTTTATTATTGGCCGATATGCTTTTCAGCAGCTTCAGCTTTCTATTAGTCTTCATCCCAAGTATTTTCTCTTTCTGTCTGCCTTCTTTAATTTCTTGTAGTTAGAGGGTTCGATAGGCTGGGCTGAATGTGAAAGTGGCTTCAGTTTAGATGGCTTTCATGGCTTTCGTATATAAGCTTCTGCAACATGTAGCTCCTTAGATGGAAAACACTTTCTTTGTGTGGATCGTTATTTTAGAGGCAGAATCCCCCGATAACAGAGATTTAAAAATAAAGCATCTGATGTGATTAAAGAAGATGGATTATTTTTGTCATAAAAGGCGTATTATTACTCTTAATATGAGAATACAAAACAAAATTTGAAGAGGCTCGGGTCAATGATCATGAATTGTTAAGCCTAGTCTCACCTGTTTAGACGTTGGATGGGAAACCACAAGAGCTATGAGAAAAAAAATCAAAAGAAACCACTTTCATTTTGTTGCCAAAGAAAACTACATGGTCATATCAAGGTAATCTCCAGGAACTCAACTTGATACCATGGACGTACAGTATTCCTGTACTATTAAATAATAAATAAATCAACACATCTAAGCCTACAGATATTGTTGAATGCCAGTTTTTATGAGCAGCTAGCATGACCTCTAGTTAGGAAGTAAACTACTTGTGGCCACCTTGTGTCATCCTTTCAGAGATATTTCTTTACCTAAACAGAAGCAGAATGACCATGGATTGGCAAAAAAAATAGGAATGAGAGCTTCTGACTTCTCCTTTGACAATGCTTATGGGAAGCTGGGAAGAAGTATCAGAAATTACTCCTCCTCCTCCTTGGCTGACCTGAGGAACTGTCTTATATTTATAATAACTGTGTGTTATTATACAAAATAATGCATATACCCACATATACGAGCTATTTCTGCAATCTCTTAATTGTGGCAAAGTCTACCCGTTAAACTGGGATTGTTTACTGACAAAAGGTTTTACTGAGAAAATAATGAAAATGTTTTCCAATTTTCCAGTAGAGAAATGGAGATTGTATAAACTTTCCATCCCAAAACACTTATCCATGCTTCATTTAATCATAGCGTATTCAGCTATCTTAATGTTCTGAATTTTCATTAGATCCAACCATTTTCCTGCCCTCATTAGTACAATTCTGAATTGATTACTCGAAGAAGACTCGCTTCATCTCTCTCTTCATTTTTCTCTACGTACATATCCATATTATGTTTCAGAACATTAATAAAAGCTGGGTTCTCATTCTTTATATGTGCTAGGCAGTTGGTGCACTTAATTTGAACAAAAGCCATACTTTGAACTAGCCCAACACTAACATAAAATAATATTAGGCAACTTTGAACTTTGAAGGGCTCCAGTACATTCAAATGTCTTTGTGCCTATATAGTTTTTGCAGCCTCCACATTCGGTTTAATTACATTTATCCTTATTTTTAAATCTCAAGAGATTTGATTGCATATCTTCATCATACATAATTTGGACTTGACCTTCAGTTTTTTTCTTCCTGTTCAAATTTTCCTTCCCCCTGGTTTTTTCCCCCCCAGGAGGGGGAAAGAAGCTGTTATTTTTCTTCCATGTCTATCGTGTTTCAGTTCTGAATAATAATTCCACTTTTCTTGTTCTTTTACTTTTTTTCTTCTCCCAGGAGTATTTGCATTTGGTCTTTTTGCTACCAACATATTTGTAAATGCTGGCCAGGTAGTGACGGGCAACTTGGCACCCTATTTCTTGACTGTGTGTAAACCCAACTATACTGGGAGTGACTGCCGAGCGCATCACCAGTTTGTTAACAATGGGAATATCTGCACTGGCAACCAAGACGTGATTGAGAAAGCAAGAAGATCTTTTCCATCCAAACATGCTGCTTTAAGCATATATTCAGCCTTGTATGCTACAGTAAGTATATAAAGAGGTTCTATTTTTACCTGTTTTGTGTGCTTCACTTATCATTTCTGACTGCTTTAACGCCCTCTCATTTCTCTTAAGGCCTAAATGCGGAATCACAGAGATCTGCCATGCCAGTCTTGTTGGACTGCATCATATCACAATCATATAGGTAGTTCTCAACATACAACAATTCAACGGCACTGGAAAAAAGTGGCTTATGACCACTTTTTCACATTTACGACTGTTGCAGCATCCCATGCATCTTAAAAGAGCATTTAATTTGTTAGCAGCTGCATAACAACACTGTTCACTTGTTTATTTTCAGCTTATGATCTGATAGAGCACCCAGATCCCTTCCACATGTATTACTGTCAAACCAGGTCTTCTCCTTTATTTTTATTTTTTTAATCTCAGATAAAGAATTTTACACTTTTTTAACCTGCTCAAATCTATCCTATTTATTTTTGCCTAGGTTCACACCTGCCTAGAGGCCCATGTTTTGTAATCCTTTCTTTAACTTCTGAAGTGTTAGCCTCTCCTCATTACTAACTGGAAGCCCCTTATGAACTTTTTGAAGACGAAAAAAATAAGCTTATCACTTATGGTTTTGATTATTAGAGTGGATAAATTGCAGAAAGAAGAATCACAATGTAATTTTAGAGGAACTGCTGTAAAGATGATCAGAAGCAATTTCTTTATGTCTTTTTTCTTTATTTTCTATTTTTCTTCTACCTTCTATCCTTACTGCACTTTAGCTTTTTGTTTTACTTCTTCCTTTTTCCCTTCTTACTCCATTTAGTTTGTAATAATTTTTACTCCTGTTTTTAAACCTTTCAATAATATATGAAAAAATAATAAATTGTTAGCTACACCTTCTAGTTACGTGTCATCTGAAAAATTACCTATTATCGAGGCTTCCTGGGAGGAGCTTGCTGGTGGTGGCAGCAAAAAATCAGCTGCCTCCGAATTCCTGGCTACGTACC